TCCCGGCCACTAATGGAGCCATTAATGCCGGGCGCCAGGGTCTCCCGGACGCGCCTGCCCGGCCGCGCATGCGCGCGCCCCTGCGCCGCCGCCCGCCGCCGCGAGGAGGCAGCCTGGGCCCTCGCAGCGGCCCGGGCCACGGCTGCTGGCTTGGGGCCGGGGGCTCCTCAGAAAGTTCCTTCCTTCTCCTGCCACCTCCCGCACTAACGCTCCGCCCGCGGTTCTTCCCGGCTCGGGTCCTCTGCTGCGCTCTGGCACCGAGAGCCCACCCCCCCCCCCCCTGCCCTCAACCGTTTCTCGGTTTTTCCCTTGCCCCAGCTGCCCACCCTTGCTCTCAAGCCCGACGGGGCGAGGCTTGTCCTCCACAGCACCCATCCTCCAAGTCTGGGTGTAGTGATGGCCCTAGCTCTAGCTGGCGGCAGAGAGGTCATGCACTTTCACCTTCGCATCCGTGCCCCGGAACCCGGTTTATTCCTCATGCTCAGAGCACACGCTGCCTCTAATGAAACCCTACCTGACGTTCCTCTAAGTGCCCAAGAGCCAGCGCCGTCCCTGACCTCTGGCTTCCTCCGAGGCACCAACTCCCCTGACTCTCCCGTCTCATCCTGTATCTGCCTTTTCCACTCACTCGTCCCTAGGACCGCTCCTCCTGCACCTGGCAGAAAGATAAGGATGGAATTGCCTTCCCCGGGAACTGATACTGGTACAGTGCAGGAGCGACAGTGAACGTTCTGGCGGGAAGAGCCTGAGTCAGGCTGAGCCAGCCCCTCTCTGGGCCTCATTTTTTCCTGCTGCTCATGGCACAGTTAAATGCCTGGTCCTTTGCACTGACACTGGGGTGGGGGGGGGGTGGAGCCGTGCCCCCCAGCAGGTAGGAGGCGGGCCATGGGCCCTGCTTCCTGCCACCTCCTCTGGCCGGATCTCCTAGCTTGGCCCACATAGCCCCCGGCTTCCTGCCAGCGGGGACAGGTGTTGGGTGGGCGGGTGGACAAGCTGGATCCCAACATTTCTCAGCAGGTCTCAGGGGCAAGGATGGACTGTTCCCGTGTGAGGGGCCAAGAGGGAGCTCCTCAGTGACAACCTCCTTAAAGGGTTAGGCAAGAGGACGGAGGCTCAGCAGGTAAAGGCATTTGCTGTACGAGCGACCAGAGTTAAAGTGCCAGACTCTCCATGAAGGCGCAGGGAGAGAACTACCCTACAAAACTGTTTTCCCTCACACACTAAAAGTTCAAAAAAGAAGGGGTAGCCAGGCGTGGTGGCACAGCAGGAAGGCAGAGGCAGGCGGGTTCTGAGTTCAAGGCCAGCCTGGTCTACAAAGTCAGCTCAGGACAGCCAGGGCTACAAAGAGAAACCCTGTCTTAAAAAAAAAAAAAAAAAAAAAAAAATTAAAGAACCTGGCCCAGGTAGAGCCGCCTGCCACCAGGCCTCCCTGCCTGAGCTCAAGTCCCACAACCCACATGGTGAAAGGCCTGCACTGGCTCCCACAAGTTGTCCTCGGACATTCACAGATTTACCGAGACGCACACTGGCATAAACACATGCACAGCCTCTCTCTCTCTCTCTCACTCTCTCTCTCAAAATAAATACATGAACATTAACAGAGAGAACCTGACGTGCAGAGAACGTGTAGAAGGCTGGGACAGAGGCAGCAGGAATATCTACACAATGTTCTCGAGAGAGCTGAGCATGGCCGTACACGTCCATGCCCCCAGCACACGGGCCGACACGACACACTCGTGCAGTGGACACACTCGGGAGGCAGCCTGCTCTCCGGTCTTCCAGGACAGACGGAGCCACACAGAGAAACCCTGCCTCAAAGAAAAGGAAAAAACAAAGCCTCCAAGGGCCAGCATGGGCTTTCTGCAGCCTCATCTCAAAAAAGCAACAAGCACCCTGGCGCAGTGGCGCGCGCCTGGGATCCCAGCACTCGGGAGGCAGGGGCAGGGGGAGCTCTGTGAGTTCGAGGCCAGCCTGGGCTACAGAGCGAGTCCAGGACAGCCAGGACCACAGGGAGAAACCCTGTCTAAAAAACACAACACAAACAAAACAAAACAAAAAAAGCAACAACAGCAAAAATAAACAAGGCAAAGTTAAAGGAAAAAATAGGAAAGAGAGGACCAGGGGAGACACAGGGAGACACAGGACTCCCAGCCTGGGATCCAAGACAGAAGAATCTGGGCTGGAACCTTGACAGGGGCTGAAGCCTGAGCAGGGACAAAACCATGAAGTATCCTAGCAGTCCTGAGACAGACAGATAGAGGTCAGAGGTCTAGAGAATGATACAAAGATAGAGGCAGAGACAGAGAAAACCGCGGAGCCCAGGGGAAGATGGCTGCGCGTGATTGGGAGAGAGATAGAAGCCCTGAGAGGACAACTGGAGGGGGCGTCAGTGTCAGCACTGCAAAGCCAAGCAGGAAGCTGCACCTGGGAGGACCAGGCCAGCCGGGGGCTGAGACCTCTGGCAGGACTACAGGTTGGTATTGGGGGCAGCCCTCCCTTTCCTGGGGAGCGGGCGGGAAGCGTCAAAGGGAGGTGGCAATGGCAGCTGGCTGGACGAGCCCCAAGCAGAATGCAGAGAATGCCGGCAGCCTGCCCCAGCATGTCCCCTAGAGGAAGCGAAGGCCTGGGGCGGGGGCGGGGGAACAGGGACAGGCAGGCTGTCCTGGCCCGCCCCCTCACACCTGCTGCCCTCTGACAGAGGGTCAGGCCCTGACAAGGAAGGGTAAAAAAAGGCCAGGACGATGACCCTTTTATGCCACCAGACACAGCCAGCCCTCCTTGAACTTTAGAGGCAGCAGGCCCCCAGGCACCTGCCTCCCAAAGGCCAGGGAGGCCTCTGGGAGGAGAATGAAGGGCTGCTGCGGCCCTGAGGGCAGCCCAGATGCCTCAAGTATGGGTGCAGTCAGGGAGTCTGCGCTCAGAACCGCCAGGACGGGCGCTGGACAAGCCCTAGCAGCCAGGTGGCCTGCGGCGGAGACTCCTCTCCTGAACCTTAGCTCTGCATCTGGACAGCAGGGCCGGGAAGCCCTGTTTTACAGCCTCAGGTGGATCTGATGAAAGGGCTGAGCCTGGGGCAAGGCTCATAGTGTGTGCTCAGTAAAGGGCTATTTTAATCATCTTTATCATCATCATCATCACACTGACAGGACTTAAATGCTCCGTATCTGGAGCCAGTCTGTGTTCAAATCCTGCTGTCTTTCTTCCTGCCCAGGTGACTTTAGGTGAGTGACTGAGGACTGAGCTGCAGGCTCCTCGGCAGGCACCTAATGGCCTCCTCACGCTCACTTCCTTGGGCAAGCGAGGACTCTCGGGAATACTCATCAGGGCTCACGCCTGGCACACCAGTATAGTCCTGCTGGTGCTCAGCGAGCCGTTCCAGCCAGAACACCTGGTCGTGAGTCTTACGGTCTGGAAGCTAAACAACCTGCGTGAGGCAGAGCTGTGCCTTCCCCGCCAGGGACGTCAGGGCCTTCCATTGGCCAAGGCCTCAGACTTCCTCATCTGGACATGACAGGAGCCTCTCGGAGGCCTGTCCTGGCGAGCCTCGGCATTATCTGCCGTGCTAATGCTGCTCAGCCTGGCAGGCCTGCCCGCCCACCCTGTAGGGGCGTGAAAGTACACGTGTGTGTGCCCCTGTGTGCGAGTGTGTGTGCACATGAGCGTGCCTCTGTATGCATGTACGTGTGCGTGTGCGCGCACGCCGTGTGGGCTGTCGGGAGACGGAGGCCCACACTCGAGGTTCACAGATGCGCCTACTTCTGCAGGGGGAGCCGTGCGCCGACTACAGCAGCAGATGAAGACGTGCTGGGGAGAAGCCCCAGCCCACCTCAGGAAGGAGCGTGAGGGAAGTCACAGCCGTGCCCGGTGCCCTGGCTCTGCAGACGGGCCACCCTGGTGCTTTGTTAAGGGCAAGGCCTGGTTCCTTGGTAAAGCGGCTCCTCCCAGAGCCCAGGCCACAGCAACTGCTACCCACATCCACCACTCCTTCCTTTCCGCCCTCTGCGCCCAGGGCTTGAATCCTCCCTCCACAGGGAGCGGGGCTCACGACTCCTCAAAACCTCCACGGCTCCCCGCCGTCCCTCTGACCGACCCTCTGAGGTCTGGCGCTGGCTCACCAGCTCAGCGCCACATCCCACTGACCCCTCCTTTCCAGGGCCGTGGGTTCTAGTCTTCTGATTGTCTGCTGCCGCCTCAGGGCCTTTACACTCTCCCCTCTGGGGCCGGCCGGCCCGCTCTCATCGATATGCCCATCAAGCTGCAGCTCACAGGCCCTGGGCCCGGGCGCTCAGCCCTCGCTCACTTTTCTGGCTGGATCAGCATCTTCTCCAGACTTGCACAGATCCCAGAGCACTGACCACCGACCCCCAGCCATTCACACGGCCGCTGTCCACAGACAGCTGTCCACTGCGCCCTATCCTGAGGACACAGCTGGAGTCCCAGCAGGCGGTGAGCTCGGCACCCATCTCCAACCCTGGCGCCCACACAGCAGAGAAGGGCCCTTAGGGCCCCGGTCTCCCCTTTTCTTGTGACTAAGCCCCAAAGCCAGACTGCCTCGGTGCGAAGTCACTAAGCTGTCTGTCCTCAGTTTCCCCCAAGCAAGCGCCTTCCTGGCCCCCGCCTAACAGTGACGTCGACAGGATGAGCTGGCATTTGAGAAGGGTCAGCGCAGGGGTGTGAGGAGAGAACCGTGCTATGCGCTGGGCGTGAGACGTGGCAAGATAAAGGGCGCACGTTATCTGCTCCTGACCTCTCCTCCCAGGCCTGGGAGGTGTCAGCGCCGCTGCGCCTCCAACAGCCCCACAGAGGCCTGACTTGGAGGGGGGGTGTCCTTGGAAGAGCCCTGGCGACGTCCCCAGCAGGTGGCCCGGGGTAGTGCCACCCCGGGTCTGAGGAGCCGCTTGCCGGGCGTGTGAGCCTCACCATGGCCCTCCTGGGACAGACGGCCCCGCGCCCTCATGGCTGGCCCAGCTCGACGGCAGTGCGGCCACCCACCCGCTTACCTGTTCCGGGCCTGCCCATGATGACCTCTTTCCTGGGGGCGGGGTGGCTGGGGTAGCTGCTCGGCACGAGGACTGGCAACAGGGCGGCGGGTGAAGGGTGGAAGGCCACAGGCTGGAAGGGCGAAGAAGCCAGGCCCAAGGTGGGCACGGGCTGGGCCACAGCAGTCGGGGCGGCTGGAGGCACAGTGATGGGCACGGGGGCAGGCAGCGGTGGGGGCAGGCCAGGCTTCCCGCTGGCCGCCCCGGGGGGCACAGGGGTCTCGCGGCAGCCCCTGCCAGGGCCCGCGGCCCGGGGCTCGCCGGCAGCGCCCACGTCTCCGGGGAACTTGGAGGGCAGCGGCACGTCGGGGTTGCGGACGATGACAGGCGAGTCCCGCTGCACGGCGGGCACCCTCCGCACGGAGGGCCCCGGGTCCGAGGTGAGGCCGGCGGGTGGGGGCAGCAGCAGCAGCGGCGAGGGCTGGCGGGAGCGGGAGAAGGGCGCGGCGGGCGACACGGCGCGGAAGCCGGCGGGCGCGGAGGGGGTGGGCGTGTGGGACACCGAGTCCACGCCGGAGTCCAGGCCGTCGCTCTTGGGGAAGTCCGCGGCGGCGGCGCCCCCGCCGGCCCCCGGGGCCCCCAAGGCGCCCGGGTGGGGCAGCAGCTCGGCCTTCCTGCGCCCGGGGCTGATGGGGACGGTGAAGGTGAGGTTGGTCTGGAAGGTGGGAAGGATGCCGGAGGAGTGGCGCTCGCGCGGGCCGGGCGGCGGCGGGTGGGCGCCCAGGTCCGGCGGGGTGAGCACGCCGGCCTTCGGGGTGCTGGCGCTCAGGTGGCGGCTGCGCACGGCCGAGCGCTGGATGACGGGCGACGCGTTGATGGGGCTGAAGTTGGCGGGGCGGAAGCCGAAGAGCGGCGAGGGCGAGGGCGAGGGCGCGGGCGAGAAGGGCGACTGCGTGGACACGGGCGAGAAGGACGGCGTGCCCGAGCGGGAGCTGCCGAGCGACACCAGCATCACCGCCGCCTCGCACTCGTCGAACTCGAAGCGGGACAGGTCGGCGGGGGCCAGCAGGCGCGGGCGGGAGTCGCCGCGGGCCGCCACGCTGCTGGCCTCGCTGTCCCTCGACGTCTCGTCGCCCCAGTCGAACTCGGCGCTGCCCTCGCGGGCCGCCCCGCCGGCCGGCCGCCCCGCGCCGCCCGCGCCGTCCGCCAGGCCCTCCATCTCTTTGGTCCTCATGGACAGGTGGCGCGAGCAGTAGCCCCGCCGCTGTGACTCCTTCATGCAGCCGTCGCGGGAGCACAGGCGGCGCCACTGCTTGCCGTTGAACTTCTTCCGGATGCCGTTGGGCGTGCACACCACGTCGCCCTTCTTGTACTTCTGCTGCGCGGCGGTGAGCGGCGTGCGGGCGCGCGCGGCCGGGGCGGCGCCCTTCTCCAGCGACGCCACGCTGCTGCTCCGGCTGCCGCCCTGGCTGCCCTCCTGGCAGGGCGAAGGCTGCTCTCCCGGGCGCCCGGGGCCGGCGAAGGCGGGGGACTTCGGGGGCGGCGACAGGAGCTGGGGCGGGGGCAGGGGGAGCAGGACCGGCGCGCCCAGAGCTGGGGGGGGCTTCTCCCCCTCCTCACAGCGACTCCCCAGGGTGCTACCAAAGCTAATGTTGGAGACCTCAGCGTCCTCTGGCTGCTTGGGCTCCAAGGAGGAAGGGCCAGCGGGCATGGCGGCCCCCGGCTCGGCCGCCTCTTCCTCTGGGCCCGGAGGGTGCTTTCTCAGCAAGGCCTCGGGTTCCCAGGGCGGCCGAAGCAGGCGCAGGCTGGAGCGGGTGACCCACACGGCTTCCTCGGGTTCACGGTGCAGCGGCTGCGGGGCCTGCGGCAGGGGGCCTGGGGGGCTCAGGCGGACCTTATAGGCGGCTGGCTTGGAAGCCACCTCCACCACGACGCCCTCGCGGTAGGCGGCCACGCCGGGCTCCACACAGGTGCAGACAGCTGTGCCCACCATCAGCGCACCCGGCGGTGGCGTGGCATCTAAAACTACGTCCACAGCACCGCCCGGCACCCCCTCATAGAAAGTCAAGGCCCGGTCCCCAGGGAACTGCACGCCCAGGTCGTGGCTTCGGCGCACCTGGCGCACCACAGCAGGCAGGAAGAGGCCGTCACCGCGCCGGGCCAGCACCCGCTGGGACCTCAGCTGCCGCAGGTCATAGCCACCGCTGGCGCCAGCAGAGGGCCAGGGGCCTGGAGCCTCGGCTGGCTCATCCTCCAGGTCAGCTGAGTGCTCACTGGCCGTGTCCGTCGAGGAGGAGCGCGCGGAGGTGGGTGGCCTCGGGGGCGCGCCCAGGGCAGTGGGGTCCTCAGGGGTCCGCTCCCGCTCTTCTGGGGCCCCCACAGCACCGTGCTCCTCCACATACTTCTTCTTGGGGGCCCGAGACTTGAAGGTGGCCGTCTTGCGGCTGAGCGAGGGCTCCCAGCGGCCTGCCTCCCCGTCCCCTTTGGGGTCCTCGGCTAAGCCTGCAGTCGGGTCGCCAGGCTGCAGGTCTGGAGGTGGCTCCTCAGCTCCAGGGTCCCGCTCCGCCTCCTCTTCCTCACCCTCCTCGGCCTCTTCTGGCCCTGTGTGCTCCTGCGGCTGCGCTTCCTCATCATCCTCCTCGGGCTTGTCTCCTTCCCCGGCCCCTCGACGTCTCAAAGCCTTGGCCCTGGTTGCTGGCGGGGACTTGCTGCCGCTGGCAGAACCTGCAAGGCCAGGGCACGCCTTCTTCATCGGCTTCATTGTCCGTCTACCTGTGTGACAGGAGAGCAGCAGAGATCATCGGAAGCGACCGTGAACACCCACAGACCCAGGGTCCCCGGGGTCCTTGTTTGCTCAGCTGACTGCACCGCCTCAGTTACGCGAGCTCTGGCAAGCACCCAGACACGGCCTGGCACCCGGGTCTCCTGAGCACACCCTGCCCGGCTCCTTCGGGAGAGCCACACACCTGCTCTTTCTGCAGGGGACATGGAGTACACGCACAGGCTCCAATGGGAGAGATCACTGAGAGTTCGCAGCGGGACACTCACACCGCCTGGAGCCCTCTTCTACTTTCCCCTCCAGCCTCCCTGGCGTGTGCATCCAGCACGGCACATCATTGAGACCCCGCAGCGGATCCCGGGTTCTGAACCTGGGTGAACCGGGGGTTCTGAACCCGGATGCTCTAGGGCGGCAGCGGATCCGGGGTTCTGAACCCAGGTGAGCCGGGGGTTCTAAACCCGGGTGCTCTAGGGCTCCAGAGTCCACGCTCCTGCCCACGGCTGTGTGCTGCCTGTCACATGATCCACGAGGCACGCTTGCTTTCACTCTCACCACACAGAGGGCACACACAGACATGCATGAGCACCAGGCCACAGAAAGGGCGGTGACACGGCTGAGAGGCCAGCCTCTCCCCTCCTCAACTTTCCTTCCGCCCCTCCAGGCAGCCGTGCACGGCCAGGTATTGTGGGAAGAAGGAGGCAGCTGAGAGTCCCTGGGGATGGTGGCCCAGGCTGCTGCCTCCCGGGCCTGCCAGGTCCAGCCATCTTCCTAGATCCTGGCAGGGAGCAGGCAGGGGCATGTTTGGGGCAAGAGCTCAGACTGGCACTGCCACAGGACGGTACAGGAGCACACGCAGGCGCAGAAATCCAGGCACACGTCATCACACAGTGGGACACGGATGTGCACATCCCGGGCTCTCTGTCCCACTACAAGGGAGTGTCCCCTTCCCCCCACCAGCACCCGGCCTGATGCCTGCAGGCCCAGCCCCCACTTCTGGCCTGCAGGCAGCCTCACCAAAACTGCACTGGCTGGGCAGGGTGTCTGAAACGGTCAGCATCCCCAGGTACCCACATATGCCCTCCGACTCCAGGTAGGGGCAGTAGGCTGAGGTCAAAGAAAGCAAGGCAAGCCCAACAAGCCAACCTCACCCACTTCCTGAAGAGTCATTCTGCCCGCCCCTTTCCAGCCGCCCCGAGAAAAGAAAAAACAAAAGGCAGAGCACAACCCCGAAAACTTTACTCCGAAGAGACTTGGAAAACTTGGGGGCCAAACATGAGTTTGACTGTCCTAGACTCTCCAAACAAACCCAAGGCCCCTCTGACAGTCTTAAGACCCCACAGCTCATGCTCTCCAACTTGGGGCCTTCTCCTTCTGTGGGGCATTCCCCGGGTTCTCACAGGCCAGCTCTGAAGAGCCTGGCATTGGTACCAACGCACTCTGGAGCTCAGCAGACTTCAGGGCCACCCCCCACTGACATGCTGGGGCACGGTTCTGGAGCCTGGGATCGGGTCCCAACGCGGCCCAAACGTAAACCTTTACTCCCACCCAGAGCCTACAAGCACCCCGGCCGACATCCCTTCACCCTGCTGCCTGGACCGGTCTCTTGACCCTGGAGCCAAACCTCTCTCAGGGCCTACTCTTCTGTGCACCATAGCTAACCAGCAGCCAGGGTCCTGCGGCCCTCGTCTCCCTCACAGAAAGAGAAGACACTCCTGAAGCCAAGGCCACGCACCCCACGGCCTTTAGGGTCTCACTGTTTCTCCCCCCCCCCCCGACACCATCTTCTCTGACACCCTCTCCCATCTTGTTACCACCTCTACCTGTCTCCTCAGGCACTAGGCCCCTCCTGCTCCCCCCTTCTGGACACCCCACTTATGTCTCCCACATATTCCTCCCAGTCACTCTCCTGTCGGCCATCTCTAGACCTCCAAATCTGACACCTCTGCCCATCGCCTCTCCTCATCACCCCCTCCAACTCGGTCCCCTTGCTGTCACCCCGATCTAGTCCTGTCACCCTCCGTCCCTGTCATCAGTACTCTTCCCCAGTCACCGCTTTCCCGTCACTCCCCCCTTCCCACCACTTGCTCCACTCGGTCTCCCCTTCCCACACCATTCCGCCCACCTCTTCTGCCCTGTAACCCTTCCCGTCCCTGCCACCTGTCCCCTCTCGGCCTCCAGCTCCCCTCCACCCTCACGCAATGTCAGCCCTGGCCCCGCCCTTCACCTCGGGCTCCGCGGGGTTTCGGGGCGGGGGGCCGTGGCCCCGGCTCAGTCCGGTCCGGTCCCTCCCCGCCCCCCCTCCGGCTCTCCCTCTCGATTCTCCCTTTTTTTTTTACTCCAACACACAAAATGGTGAATGGACCTGCAACAGCTGGAGCAACCAGCCAATAGGCGGCCACAACCCCGCTGACCGGCGCCAAGCTAGACCAATAGAAATACGCTGTCTAGTCGGCTCCGCCTATCACCCACGAGCGACACTTGCTACCACCAATCGTGTCCTTCTGGCAGCGCCGGGGGCGGGGCCAAATTCCAAGGCCGGCCTCCCTCCGGGACCGACACCAACCTAAGCCTACGACTGCCTGATCTGCCTAGAAGCCTACCTTACACCGAGTGATGGACACCTGCCCTGACCAATCAACAGACTATTTACGTGCCGAATGACAGTTACAGTACCCAATCATCACGCACCTTAGGCAGGGCCCCCGCCCCTCCGAGAGACAGTAACCAATGAAATTAGGGGAGGCGGGGCTAAGGGACGCGCCCTCCAATGAGCAGGCCCAGAAGGCGTGGCCCGAGCGTTTGTTGACCAGCTGATCGCAATCCCTGCTGGGAATGGTAGTCTTCTTCTGCATCCGGCCCGTAGTCGAAAGCATAAGGCAGACTACAACTCCCATGTAACAGAGTGCCTGGAGCCCCGAAGAGCCGGGGCGAAGAGAAAAAGTCGGAAAGGGCAGTTCCTCAGGAGTCTCGCTGGACACCGGAGACACCTTAGACCCAGGGCCCCGACTCACCCGGATTCCCGGCTCTGGCGTCGCCGGTGGCTCCTCGCTGTGGCGGCGGCGGAGGCACGAGGGGGAGGTGCAAAGAGCAGCCAACCGACACCCGCGAGCCCCGCAGCCAATCAGCAACGGCTGGGGCGGCGCGATGACCTCACCGGCTTACGCTCTTCCCCCTCCCCCACGCGGTTGTTGGTGCTGGTGGCCCGAGTGGAGAAGTTTGGGGTGGGGGATGGGAGGAGAGCTAGTGATGTCACCTCTCCTCGGCGCGATTGGGTGTCGGGTGGCCGGACCTCGGCCAATCAGCCGTCCGGGAAGGTCTGGCGCGGCCCCGCGGAAAGCCCTGTTGCCACCAGCCGGGGACAGGACCTGCGGCCGTGGGGTGCGCGCGTGGCCCGAGCCGGGAGACCCAGGGCTTCGCGCTGCGCCCCGCAGGCGGCTGCGCCTGGAGAGAGAGCCGTAAAGATGCCGGGGTGGGTGTCACTCCGGAGGGGTCGGCCCCATCCGTCCCCGGCTTCGCCCGCTCCCCTCGGGTGACGGAGACCGGTGTTCGCCGGCTGCCAGACAGACGGCCTCTCCCGCGGCAGGGAGGAGGACACGTCTCCTGCAGCTCGTCTCCCTGTCACCCGGCTCAGTGTTTGTGTCACGCTGACACGGCCGGAGTCGGATGAACCCCAGCTGCCTCCTAGGGCGGCCCCGTCAGCAAGTCTGGGCAGCCCTGTCTTAATTAGAGATTGCTGCGGGAGGGCCCAGCCCGCTGTCAGCGGTTGCCCCTTCGAAGGGCCTGGGGCATGTCAGGAAGCGGCTGAACCACGGAGCGCCGGCCATTAAGTAAGGTCTCTCCACGGCGTCTGCTTGGGTTCCTGCCCTGGGTTCCCTTAAGATGGACTTAATAAGATACAAGGGAAATAACCCTTTCCTTCCTGAGTTGCTTCTGGTCAGTGCGGTAGCAAGTGTTAACTCGGACACTACCCTAACGTTGGCATTAATTGTAAAAGAGGATTCTGTGGTATATGGCTGCTTCACATCAGGGCATGCCAAAGGTACCAGTTTTTTCCATGGCACAGCAAGGCAGTTTCACGCTATCTATAGGACGTTCCCACTATGCACAGGGATTAGAGGACCCGGATTTGATGCCCAGCACCGATGTGCTTTCTCATAACCTTGGGCTAACTCCGGTTCTAGGGATTCGACACCTTCTTCTGGCCTCTGCAGGCACAATAAGGCACCGAAGTGTTGACAGACATACATAGAGGCAAAACACCCATGCACACTCAAAATAAGAACATACTAGCTGGTCAGTGGTGGCCCTCGCCTTTATAAAGATCCCAGCACTGGGCCCCCAGAGGCAGGGGGACCACTGTGGACAGCCCAGTCTAAAGGGCGTGAGTTCCTGGACAGCCTGGACTGTAGAGTAAGACCCTGCCCCCAAACAAACAAAAACACTTGGCTAGCCACTAGTGAAGGCCATTCCGTCACCAAGGGGGCTACAGCAGTTCCGGAGAATTCTTAAGAGTTTGCAAACTGGCCTCGTTCCGTTCCGTTTGGAAACAAAGGAAGAAGATGCCCGCTGGGCAGCGCCCAGTTCCCACAGTCCACAGAGAGCCTGTGATGTGGGCGAGACTCAAGCGGATGAGGGTGAAGTTGTGTCCCCACAGTTCCTGTCAGGTGTGAGGATTAAACAAATGCATCCCGCCAAGGAAGCGTTCCGCCCTGCCGCCAAGGCTTTCTGCTGGGTGCCATGACACCCACCCAGGACCGTCCCCCACTCGCCCACCCACCCTGCTCGTGAAAGTTACAGCTTGCAGGCGAGCAGGCAGGCCTGGGGAGGGGAGTTCCGGAGCTCCTGTGGGCCAGGCTTATTGGAGGAAGGTGTGTGCCCAGGGGCTGTGGGCTGAAACTAGTGAATTGACGAATTTCCGCACCCCTCGTCACGTCACGTGGGCAAGGGGTGAGGCTGCAGGGGCAGGACAGGACTGGCAGAGGTTGCCTGGGGTCAAATGGCAGCTGGGACTCTGCCCCGACTGTGAGGTAGATACTGGGAAGGTCACTTAATCCCCCAGTGCCTTGATTTCCGCCTCTTTTAAAATGAGAATAGGGTTGAGGGTGCGGCTCTGTAATAGAACATTTATGGGCCTGAGGTCCGGGTTCCATTCCCGTCAAAGGGATAAAAAAAAAATAAATAAAAATAAAATAAAAAAAAGATAAAAATAAAAATCTTAATGGTGGGCTGGAGAGGGGGCTCAGAGGTGAAGAGCTCCGACTGCCCTTCCAGAGGACCCGGGTTCAGTTCCCAGCACCCACATGGTGGCTCACAGCTGTCTGTGACTCCAGTTGCAGGGGACCCAAGAACCTCACACAGACATCCGTGCAGGCAGCACACCAATGCACATAAAATAATAGTCCAATATTTTACATTATTTTAAATTATTATAAATATCTTGATGGCTTTGTTAGGAAGGTGGAGGGAGTTAAAGCAAGGCAAGCTAGTGCTTTCTTGCACAGCAGGATGGAGTTGCACGTATTTTAAAAAGAAGAAAGGAGAGCCAGGCCCAGCTAGGTCTGTGATATCAGTACTTGGAAAGTGCAAGTACAATGTTCAGGATGGTCAGGAGTTCAAATCCAGCCTTGGCTAGAGGGTAAGTTGGAGGTCAGCCAGGGCTAAAAGAGACAAGAAAACAAAAAGAGCAACGGTATTCACCACAAAGGAATACTGGGGAGGCAGATGCAGGAGGATCAAGGCCTGAAAAAGCAAAAGGAGAGAGAAAAAGAAGTTACAGGTTTAAGAAACGCTATTTAGTCTGATGTGTACGTTATGATAGATCTCAGAATACCACTAGTACTCTGACCTACTTCCAGTCCCAAGGTACTTTTTTTATTTAATGAGTGGGAGTGTAGCTTGGCACAGGAGCATGGACAAGGTCCTGGGTTTCACCTAGCACTATAAGATATAAATAAAGAAAAGAGGGCAAGGGGGCTGGAGAGATGGCTCAGCGGTTAAGAGCACTGTCTGCTCTTCCAGAGGACCCGGGTTCAATTCCCAGCACCCACATGGTCTATACCACACGCACAACTGTCTATAACTCCTGTTTCAGGGGACCTGACCCCTTACACATGCAGACAAAACACCAATGTACATTTAAAAAAAACTTAATAAAAAATTAAAAAAAGAAAAAAAGAAAGAAAAGAGGGCTAAGAAGCCAGTTGCGGTGGTGCACGCCTGTGATCCCAGCACTCGGGAGGCAGAGGCAGGTGGATCTCTGTGAGTTCGAGGCCAGCCTGGTCTACAGAGTGAGTCCAGGACAGCCAGGGCTACACAGAGAAAGCCTGTCTTGAAAACCAAAAAAGAGGAAAGGAAGGAAGGAAGGAAGGAAGGAGGGAGGGAAGGAGGGAGGGAAGGAGGGAGGGAAGGAAGGAAAGAGGTGAAGGCTGGGGAGAAGGCCTGTCAGGCAGAAGGGCTTGTCGCCAGGCTGGACTCCCGGAGTTCAGTCCTGACAGTTGTCTCCTGACCTTCACTGTGTTCCCTGTCTCAAGCACGGATCTCTCTGAGTTCTAGACCAGCCAGGACTAGAAATGAGACCTGGCTCAGCACCCCCTAAACACCGCACCAAAAAAAAAACACAAACAGACCAGACCAGGGACTGGAAAAGTGGCAGTTAAGAGCCCGACTGTCTTCCAGAGGATCTGAGTTCGGGTCCCAGCAGGCAGCTCGCAAACACTTGTAACTTCAGTTCCGGAGATGACACCCCTTCTGCCCTCCACGGGCGGCAGGCACACGTGCCACAGAGACGTATATACAGGCAGAACACCCATACACAAAAAATAATCTGGGTGGCAAGAGTTTTCTTGAGACAATGTCTCACTTTATAGCGCTGGCTGTCCTGGAACTTGAGCTGTAGACCAGGCTGGCCTCAAACTCACAGAGATCCACCTGCCTCTGTCTCCCAGGTGCTGGGGTTAAAGGGATAGGCCACCATGCCTAATAATTCTTTTTAAAGGAACACAGACACACACACAGAGAGGGAGGGCACTAGGGAGCTAGCTGGGCACAGACGCAGAGAGTGAGAGAGAGAGGAAGAGAGAGAGAGGAAGGGCACCAGCTAGCTACCTGGGCACTGACAGAGAGAGGAAGAGAGA